GGGGGCGGCTGAGCTGTCATATAGAGCACAGCATACAGTACATATTACTAATGAAAGTCCAAAAAAAATTACTTCATCTTCTGCAATAGAAACCTCAAGTTTCTTGTCCCCAACAGCATCCACACTAAAGAAAAGAAACATTCCTTGGTAAATCTTTGTTTCATCAAAAAATCATGATCTTGGATGGTTCTTAAAACAATACATAATACAGACTGCTGGAATGTACTCGTATACCCATGGCAAAGCCCACTGTGCTTTCTGACCCAGATTCCATGGAGAATCGGAGTGGTAACCTACTTATAACTTGAAACTAAATTAAGTCATTCTGTCTCTTCTCTAGTTTCTGTGCTAGCTAAACCTAATCCAAATCTGTTGCTTTAAAAAGGAAAAAAAAGTCTGTAGAAGGTTTGAGTACACAGCAGTTATGAAAGTGTTATATTTAATATTTTATCTTTGTTTGAGACTACTGTTTTAGTTATACATATTTCCTCTCTCGTTAAAAACTCAAGTTCAAGTGGTTTAAATCTTTTTTTTTAAATGAAAAAACAGCATTACTCACATGCAAGTCTAAATAGTGTCTGGGATTTATTACATCATTCAGTGACGTTGACTACAGATAGTTCCATATAGAACAAAATGATGGACAAAAAATATTCTTGTATTGATGATGACTCCATGAGACATACAAATTGTGTGTTAAACTTTGTCTCATTCATGCCTCTTTTCGTAAACATTTCTCTCTTAGAAAACTAGCTTTCGGGTTTTTTGGTAATAACTTGTGTCTGCAGTGCATGAGCATATAGACAATATATTGTTTTAGGAAACTGTAGTAAAGAATAAAACAGATTAATGATAATGGTAAATTGACATAAACCAAGAGAAGTCTTTGTCAGTCAGTCACATTAATGAATGGACTAATTCTTAATAACTGATTAGTGTTATTCTTCAGAGTCCAGTATGCTTTGAGGCATATGTTCAGAAGAATATGTTTACCTGTAAAGGCCAAATTCTGTTTCTGTTACACCCACAAAATGGGCATTAATGGCTCTACTGAGAGCAGAGGTTGGATTTGTTTGTTTTACGCCTCCAATCAGTGTGCAGTACATCAGCTGAGTAGCTCTCACTAGACTGGACTTAGGGGACCTGGGTTCTGTTCTTAATTTTGCCATTGGCCTGCTGGGTGACCTTGGTCATGTCACATCATCGCCCAGTGCCTCAGTTTCCCCATTTGTAAAATGAGGATAATGATACTGGCCTTTCTTTGTAAAAATCTTTGAGATTTTCTGAACTGAAAATGTGCTACATGAGAGCACAGTGGAATTATTTTATTATTATTATTAAATATTATTAGGGCTGTCAATCACAGTTAACTCCAGCAATTAACTCAAAACAAATTGACACTATTAAAAAAATTAATTACTATTAATCACTGTTTTAATCGCACTGGTAATAATAGAATACCTACTGAAATTTATTATAAGTATTTTTGGATGTTTACCTACATTTTCAAATATATTGATTTCAGTTACAATACAGAATATAAAGTGCACAGTCATAGAATCATAGAATATCAGGGTTGGAAGGGACCTCAGGAGGTCATCTAGTCCAACCCCCTGCTCAAAGCAGGACCAATCCCCAATTAAATCACCCCAGCCAGGGCTTTGTCAAGCCTGACCTTAAAAACTTCTAAGGGAGGAGATTCTACCACCTCCCTAGGAATGCATTCCAGTGTTTCACCACCCTCCTAGTGAAAAAGCTTTTCCTAATATCCAACCTAAACCTCCCCCACTGCAACTTGAGACCATTACTCCTTGTCCTGTCATCTTCTACCACTGAGAATAATCTAGAACCATCCTCTTTGGAACCACCTCTTAGGTAGTTGAAAGCAGCTATCAAATCCCCCCTCATTCTTCTCTTCTGCAGACTAAACAATCCCAGTTCCCTCAGCCTCTCCTCATAAGTCATGTGTTCCAGACCCCTAATCATTTTTGTTGCCCTCCGCTGGACTCTCTCCAATTTTTCCACATCCTTCTTGTAGTGTGGGGCCCAAAACTGGACACAGTACTCCAGATGTGGCCTCACCAATGTTGAATAGAGGGGAACGATCACGTCCCTCGATCTGCTGGCTATGCCCCTAACTATACATCCCAAAATGCCATTGGCCTTCTTGGCAACAAGGGCACACTGCTGACTCATATCCAGCTTCTCGTCCACTGTCACCCCTAGGTCCTTTTCCGCAGAACTGCTGCCTAGCCATTCGGTCCCTAGTCTGTAGCTGTGCATTGGGTTCTTCCGTCCTAAGTGCAGGACCCTGCTCTTATCCTTATTGAACCTCATCAGATTTCTTTTGGTCCAATCCTCCAATTTGTCTAGATCCCTCTGTATCCTATCCCTACCTGCCACCATATCTACCACTCCTCCTAGTTTAGTATCATCCGCAAATTTGCTGAGAGTGCAATCCACACCATCCTCCAGATCATTTATGAAGATATTGAACAAAACTGGCCCCAGGACCGACCCTTGGGGCACTCCACTTGATACCGGCTGCCATCTAGACATGGAGCCATTGATCACTATCCGTTGAGCCCAACAATCTAGCCAACTTTCTACCCACCTTATAGTGCATTCATCCAGCCCATACTTCTTTAACTTGCTGGCAAGAATACTGTGGGAGACTGTGTCAAAAGCTTTGCTAAAGTCAAGAAACAATACATCCACTGCTTTCCCTTCATCCACAGAACCAGTAATCTCATCATAGAAGGCGATTAGATTAGTCAGGCATGACCTTCCCTTGGTGTATCCATGCTGACTGTTCCTGATCACTTTCCTCTCATGTAAGTGCTTCAGGATTGATTCCTTGAGGACCTGCTCCATGATTTTTCCAGGGACTGAGGTGAGGCTGACTGGCCTGTCGTTCCCAGGATCCTCCTTCTTCCCTTTTTTAAAGATGGGCACTACATTAGCCTTTTTCCACTCGTCCAGGACTTCCCCCGATCGCCATGAGTTTTCAGAGATAATGGCCAATGGCTCGGCAATCACAGCCGCCTACTCCTTTAGCACTCTCGGATGCAACGCATCTGGCCCCATGGACTTGTGCACGTCCAGCTTTTCTAAATAGTCCCTAACCACTTCTTTCTCCACAGAGGGCTGGCCACCTACTCCCCATTCTGTGTTGTCCAGCGCAGCAGTCTGGGAGCTGACCTTGTTCGTGAAGACAGAGGCAAAAAAAGCATTGAGTACATTAGCTTTTTCCACATCCTCTGTCACTAGGTTGCCTCCCTCATTCAGTAAGGGGCCCACACTTTCCTTGGCTTTCTTCTTGTTGCCAACATACCTGAAGAAACCCTTCTTGTTACTCTTAACATCTCTTGCTAACTGCAGCTCCGGGTGCGATTTGGCCCTCCTGATTTCATTCCTACATGCCCGAGCAACATTTTTTTACTCTTCCCTGGTCATTTGTCCAATCTTCCACATCTTGTAAGCTTCTTTTTTATGTTTAAGATCCGCAAGGATTTCACTGTTAAGCCAAGCTGGTCGCCTGCCATATTTACTATTCTTTCGACACATCGGGATGGTTTGTCCCTGTAACCTCAATAGGGATTCTTTGAAATACAGTGGTCACTTAATATTATTTTTTATTACAAATATTTTGCAATGTAGAAAAGATAAAAGAAATAGTAGTATACAATTCTCCCCAAAGGAGTTCAGTCACAAATTTAATTAATGCATTATTTTTTTTAACAAGCATCACCAGCATGGAAGCATGTCCTCTGGAATGGTGGTCAAAGCATGAAAGGGCATACAAATGTTTAGCATATCTGGCACGTAAATACCCTGCAACGCTGGCTATAAAAGTGCCATGCGAATGCCTGTTCTCACTTTCAGGAGACGTAAATGAAAATTGGGCAGCAGTATCTCCCGTAAATGTAAACAAACTTGTTTGTCTTAGTGGTTTGGTGAACAAGAAGTAGGACTGCATGGTCCTGTAGGCTCTAAAGTTTTACATTGTTTTGTTTTTGAGTGCAGTTATGTATAAAAAAAAATTCTACATTTGTAAGTTGCACTTTCACAATAAGAGATTGCACTACAGTACTTGTTCGCAGTGAATTGAAAAATACTGCGGGGGTGGGGGTGAGTTTTCTTTTTTACATTGCAAATATTTGTAATAAAAAATAGTAATATAAAGTGAGCACTGTATGCTTTGTATTCCATGTTGTAATTGAAATTTATATATTTGAAAATGTAGAGAAACATCCAAAATATTTAAACAAGTGGCATTCTGTTATTGTTTAACAGTGTGATTAAAACTGTGACTAATCACAATTAATTATTTTAATCATTTGACAGCCCTAATTATTATTACATCAACCTTTATCAGATAAAATGATGACATGCATTAAAAAAACTGATCTGAGAAATAATGGCATTGATATAGGAATGCTGCTACAGATCCGTTGATGCTGACCAAAAGTTTCAAAAGTAACTGCTGATTTTGGGTGCCTCCATTTTTTGAGATATCTTAGAGATCTCTGATCGTCAGGAGGCAGGTGCTCAGCACTTTCTGGAGACCAGGCCTATTTAAGTAATCTCAAATTGAATATCCAAAAACTGAAAATCAATAAAGTGATATATCATACACAAAACCCTACAGTGCTTTTCAGGACAATAATTGATGATTTAAAATATTGTGAGAAAACAAAAAAAAAATGGGGCAATAGCTGTGAAATGTATGTAATACTGGAGAGAGATAATTACATGCAATTTTCTGCTATTATATGTCACATTGTTTTTTTTTCCTTTTTTATGTAAATCAAGAATTATAGCCCTGTGCAACTTTTAAGATTTTTCTGCTTTTTTTATATCAGTCTTTTACATTTTATTTTTTTATCTTTTTATTTATTTACTTTTGTCTATGGAGGAAAGGAAAAATTGCTGTGTTTATAGCATAGTTTGCAAATATGATTGGGTGGTAGAAAATAATTAACGTTTTTATTTTTCAGAAAACGGTGGGGCATATTTCCCAGAAGTGAAAAATGATCCAGCCAAATATTTACAAAGTTGCCCTGAGTCTGTAAAAAAGTGGCTGAGGCAACTGAAAAATGCTGGGAAGGTCCTGCTATTGATTACCAGCTCTCACAGTGACTACTGCAGACTCCTGTGTGAACACATCCTTGGGTAAGTGTACTGCTGATCTCAGTTCATTTCCGATTAGACCTCCCAGAGAGCAGTAACCGTGGTTAGATTTGGAGATGGCCCTGAGCAGTAAAGCTCGAGGTTTGGGTCTGTTTCTAGTTACTGTTGCACATTATCTCAGAACTGGGAGACCAGTAGTTATGGGCTGTCCTTAAAACTATACATTTGTATAAGTAGTATTTCACATTGACTAACCAGTTTTTCAAAAGATGGGCCTTGTAAGGAGCAGAAAGATAGCCTTGTGGCTAAGGCACTGGCCTTTATTTCTTTCTTAATTGTATTATGAATGACCTTAGATGCCCAAATCTAGATAGGGGCCCTGTTATGGTAGGCACTGTACAAACATATGGTGAGAGGCAATTCCTGCCCTGAAGCTCTTACAATCTAAATAGACAAGATAGACAAAGAGAAGGGAGAAGAAACTGAGATGCAGAGAGATGTGAAGCAACTTGCCCAAGGTCACACAGTAGGTCATTGACACAGACAAGTGGAGCCAGATGAGTGCATAGGCCTACAGGGCTACGCCAAGAGCCCCCTGTCTGCTGATATCTTGCGATTGTATCAGAATCTAGACTTCCATTTTTTAAATAAAAAGTAAGTTTCTAGCCTTTGCAGTTGTGAAGAAAAGGTTGAAAATGTGACCAAAGATTAACAGGTGCAGTGATGTGTGTTTGAATCTGCAGACAACTTAGAAATATAGTTCTGAGAAGTGTGAGTGACCCCATGCATCTCAGTAGGATGTTAATTCTAAAGCCCACTGCTCTTGTAGGCCCCACCAACATCACCCTAGCAGAGGATTCTGTATATGGCAAGAGAACTAGATTGCAGTGGCCGGCCCTGGCCGGCTCACCCTCCCAATCAAGTATTTACCAGTTGCTGAGGTATGTAGTAAGGCCACCCCCTGCTACCATCTCTCTCTCTCTCTCTCGGGGAGGGGCCCCTGTTGCGCCTGAGGAGAGAAGTTCCCTTGTTGCCACTTTTGAAGTTAAGATGGGGACCTCTTGCCATTCTCCTGCCTCTCTGGGAGTGTATAGGACCCTTTGTCATCATCATTCCATGTGGCGTGCAGGGCCACAGCATGGGGATGAGGCCACAGGGGACCCCATATCATGATATATCCAGAGGACCAGATTGCTTTACTCTTTTCCTTAGAATACAACCCAGGTCTCCCAACTCTCAATCCACTGTCCGATCTAGATCACAGCTCTACCACAGACTTCCTGAGTTACCGTAATAATTCCTTCAATCTTTGTGCCTCCGTTCCCCAGGTGTAAAGTTGTAACACTATGTCTTACCTTAGAGGGTTGTTTTGCTGATGAATGTATGTGAGCTGCTCAGATACTATACAATAACCCTCAGAGAAGAGCCTATAAATAACTTATCATTGCTCTTAATGCACGGTTGCCAAAAAGATAATTGTGCACAGAAAACATATATTTACAGTACGTGGGCAGAATAGATAATTTCACAGACAGATGGTTCACTGCAATTCATTTGAGATCTACAGCTGCCAATGATGGCACCTATTTGTATCCACAGATTTTTCAAGCTCATAATATTGAGAATTTGGCTGACTAAACCAAATGCAACCCAAAGTTTGTGGGCTTAACTCCCACTGAAATCTTTGGGACAAATCCATGACGTTAATAACGGTGTAGGTTACACACTGAGTGTAACTTCATTCATTAAACAGTTTTAGGTGGCAGCATATTGTAACTAGTCTGGCTGTCCGTGGGTGAATGCCTAGTGAGTGTATTACGTATAGAAATTGGGTAGAAAAGGGATGATGCAGCAGGAAAAGCACAACTGATGTAAAAGTGTAAGACACAGCTGCATCCCAACAATAGCACAACTCATGCCATACCATTCCCAATGCTCCCAGATCCAAACAGGATCCTGGCAACTTGCACCTGCTGCCACTAAGGTGGAATCTGTTTCCTCCTACCACCCCTCAAAACCCAAAAAAAAAGTTATACTGAAATGAGTAGTACACCCAGGGACTGATTCTCTACTGCCATGGACTTTCTGTAGACATTTATATCATTGCAAGCACTCCCATCCATGCATTGATACCTGTGCCTCCCTTTAGTTGGGTATGTAATGCTCTAATAGTTCTCTACTGGTGTGCAAGAGATCTTAAAGACTATGGCTACATGGCAGAGTGAAAAGCCTGCTACATCCACACTTGTCATATATAGCTATATGTTCTTGTGGCATAGGTTTAGGTTTTGTAATGATAGGCCACTAGCCGTCACCTACAGCCCCCAACTAAAACCTCTCCAGAGCATCATCATGGATCTACAACCTATCCTGAAGGACGATCCCTCACTCTCACAAACCTTGGGAGACAGGCCAGTCCTCGCTTACAGACAGCCCCACAACCTGAAGCAAATACTCACCAGCAAGTACACACCACACAACAAAAACACCAGCCCAAGAACCAAATCCTGCAACAAACCCCGGTGCCAACTCTGTCCACATATCTATTCAAGGCACACCATCATAGGACCTAACCACATCAGCCACACCATCAGGGACTCATTCACCTGCACATCTACTCGTTTGATATATGCCATCATGTGCCAGCAATGCCGCTCTGCCATGTACATTGGCCAAACCAGACAGTCTCTGTGCAAAAGAATAAATGGACACAAATCCAACATCAGGAATCATAACATTCCAAAACTGGGTCTCAGAGTAGCAGCCGTGTTTGTCTGTATCAGCAAAAAGAAAAGGAGTACTTGTGGCACCTTAGAGACTAACAAATTTATTTGAGCATAAGCTTTCTTGAACTACAGCTCACTTCATCGGATGCATCCGATGAAGTGAGCTGTAGTTCAAGAAAGCTTATGCTCAAATAAATTTGTTAGTCTCTAAGGTGCCACAAGGACTCCTTATTGTTTTTGCTGATACAGACTAACATGGCTACCACTCTGATAGCTGTATGTGTCAGTGAAGGGCTCTGGCCGGGGGGAGACAGCAAGGAAAAGCTTCGGTAGCTCCCCATTGCTGGAATCTTTCCCTGCAGCAGGGTAAGGCTACGACAGTTGGGAGCTGCCGGAGCCTTTCTCTGCTGCTGGAGTCTTTTCCTGGGGATGGGAAATGCTGCAGCAGCAGGATGCTGTGCTGCTAAAAGTAGCAGGGGAGATGGAGAGCCATGGCTTGGCCGAGTAGAGAGCTGTGAAATGTATGTACTTGGGTGCTTACCCTCACCCTTCAGGCATGTCTTTATTCGCCTGAACCATGCCTCACCAGCTAAAATTCTATTTATACCCATGCTAGCAGAGGCTATGCATGTATGTACTGTACACACCCCACTGAAAGATGCGTGCAGTATAGACATATCTTACTTTGTCAATAGGGATGATTTCCCTTGTTAAGCACAGCTCTCTTGAAAAGGTGGAGATTAGAAATAGAAGAACCTTACTAGGTCAGCTTGTCCATTTCCATGCCTATGTAGGATTGTGGCCTTCAGTGTTCAGCACAATCCTATTTTAAATGAGTCAGGGAATGTGGCTTCCACCACTTCCCTTGAGAGTCTGCCTGTTCCACAATCTACTCGATGCTACTGTTAAGAATTTTTTCCTCGTGTTCATCTGAAATGTTCCCTCGCACTAGTTCACTGCATAACTCCTGGTTATACTCTTTGGCTTTTCAGTTCCCTCGTTGTTGCTTGCACTGTAGAAACAAAGTATTTATAAATGGTTACCATGTCACCCCCTTAGTTATGATATGAAGCATATCTGTTCTTGGCTTCTGTTCTCGTAAATTGATCCTCCCCAACGCTTATTTCTCTTGATTTTCTCTGACTTCCCCTTCGGTTTATCAATACTTTTCTAGTTTTCAAGTATCCAGAACTGTGTGTAGTATGTATCATATGAGAGCCTTAATACACAGTTAGCGTGATCTTGAGCGCAACCTCACCTTAGGGCTTGTCTACACTACCGCACGGGGTCGATCTAAGATATGCAACTTCAGCTACATGAATAGCATAGCTGAAGTCATCGTACTTAGATCTACTTACCACAGTGTCTTCACTGCAGTAAGTCGACAGCTGATGCTCTCCTGTCAACTCCGCTTGCGCTCCTCATTCTGGTGGAGTACCGGAGTCAACGGAAGAGTGCTCACTGGTCGATTTATCATGTCTATACTAGATGTGATAAATCAACCCCCCGCTGGATCAATCACTGCCCACCGATCCAGCAGGTAGTGTAGACAAGCCCTCATCTTACTCTTTAGTGGCACCTGTCAAGTTGTGAGTACAAGTGTCATTCAGACATCTACCAGTAAGTACTATACCTCACTGCATTTGCAAATCAAGTATAGTGACTTCCCTCAAAGTTTTTTTCATTTTAAGAGATAGGTAGTTCTACCAGCATTCCCCATTTTTAAGTACAGGAAACATATCTCAAGCCACTAAAATCTTTGAAAATAGAAGAAAAAATTTAACTGTGTCCATTGTGTTATGTGATGTTGAATTGAACTCACAAAAAGAGAGATTAAAATGCTTTATAGAGACAGTCACAAGCTACAGATGAAAGATTTTCAACAGTGACAGTATTTCCTGCAGGAGGTTTTACATCTTGGACATGCAATAATCAAGTTATTGGCTGATTATTTTTTAAGGTTGGAAATGGAGAAGTAAACAAAAGCATAAATGACACTTCTAATTAAACTGAGATGTTTAACCTCTATATTTGAATTAGGATAGATCGGTTTTATAGGAAACTAAAGATTAAAACTGGTTTTATTATTGCCAATACATGATTATTTTATCTGTAGTGTTCACTGTAGCTCAAGTCTTCTGATTGAACTTAATTAATAGGTTCTGTTTAAATGTGTAAAAAAAAGAAAAATGGGAAGAAGTCATCACGTTACTTTTCTCTTGGTCATTTCTGCAGCACACTGACCTAGTCAGAACTTCAGTTTCAGTTCTGTCTTCTTTTTTAAAAAACCTTTGAGTTATATTCAAAACAGTGGTTCTTCCTAAATCTGTTCCAGATGCCTTTCTTCGCCTTCTACACTTGATCACATGTATCTGGGACACTACACTGTCATGTTTGTCAATAAGTCAGAGAGCAGAAAGGACTGTCAGATTTTAACTTCAAAAGAAACCTTTACATATTTCTATTGCAACTCTCTATAGTCATTTATCAAATCCAATCACCTATCTGATAAACTCCACTGATAGTTAATAATCTAAAGCATATGTCTCATAACTACTGGAATGCAAATTTACTTTTGGAAGGCCTCTTATAATACATGTCAAGGGTCAGTAATGCATATTTTTATTCAGATCTGTACATCTGGTATACAATCTGTCTGATTCTGCTTTTATATTTGTTAGCATTTCAGCTCATTATACCCTTGCTGTACTTGCTACTTCCTCCTTCCAGAATAAGGCTATCCAAGAATTTTACTAGATGGTCCCAGTTCATGCAGTATAATACATAAGCACCTCAAAGAAGCACTTCTAATAAAAATATATAGCATGTATATGCAATTTTTTAATTTGCTACTATATTCCAGCATTAAGATATAACTAGGTTTGGCAAAATGTTTCCACTTATGTACTACTTCAGACTAATTTATATTTTTATAACCTCCTCAGAGACTTGTAGAGAAGAATTTTTAACTCCATTTTACAGCTGGAGATAATTTAGAGAGTGAGGTGAAATGACTTGCTCAGGGTTGTGGAGGGAGCCATGCTTGGAGTTGGGAGTATTACTTAGAAATATATGGCTCCCAGTCTTGGACTAAGACCATTAGACTACATTCTCCTTTCATCACTTTCACCTTGAAATAAATATCCATCCTTAATAAACATGAGAAGTATGGGACCAATAGCGCTAATAACAAATAGTGAGTTTTGCATGGAGGTGGTATAAGTACAAGTACACAGCTAGAAATAGCAAATATTTAATTTAATATTATACCTGTCCTAATTGGTGGGGGAAAACACATCAGAGAGGGGAAAATGTGCCTACTAATGGCCAGATTTTCAAATGTATTATGATGCCTAAAGATGCAGATAGGCACTTATTGGGATTTTCAAAAGCAGTTAGTGATATCAATGCAATAGGCACCTGGGTGCTTTGAAAACCCCAGTGTGTGCCTCGCGCAGTGGAGCCTAGTTGTGAACCAGAACTCCTAGGTGCTATGGTAATACAAATTAATAATAATTAATATAATTAATAGAAGGCTCCAGTCTGATAGGCTGTCTTTCTAACATGCTTTCACCAGTGATATATGAACTTAAAAATGGAAGAAAATGGGTGTGGGGAAATAGCATAAAAATCTCTAAGTAAAGTGGCATGAAAAAATTCTTTATAGAAAACTGTTTTGACAGTCAGTCTTATCTACATGGGTTTATTTCCTTTTTTGTTTGTTTTTTTAAGTGTTTCAAGGTTATTTGAGTTGTATTGTTTTGTTATTTCAGGAATGATTTTGCAGAGCTTTTTGACATTGTGATCACAAATGCATTGAAACCTGGCTTCTTCTCTCATACGCCAAACCAAAGACCTTTCCGAACTCTTGGTAAGACTCAGTAATGTATACATCTGTTTCTTACACACTTAGATCTAGGAAATGGGGGATCCAGTCTAGTAGCCCTGTAGGTTAAAACTCTGTGACATAATCAAGCATTCAGATAACAAGTGGAAGAGATAAGAGATTCTAGATTGGTTCAGTTCCCGAGGCAGGCTATTTGGAAAGGATACTGAGGGAGAGAAGGAGGAAGTAGAAGTTGTAATACTGGAAACAACCTGCAAATATAATGAAAAATGAAGTAAGCTTTTGGTTTAAAACAGAGGAAAAAAAGTCAATATAATTCCCGGCTACATATATTGAGGTATTGCATGATTGAGCACAATGGTGACTGATTTCTCTGTGTTGCATAGACAAGATCATACAAAGAAGACTTCATACAGTTCTGGGAAAATCAATTACAAAAACATTTAAACAAATCAGAGGAAATTCAGAAAACCGAAACAAATACACTTACAAGTTTGGAGGAAATGATTCACGGGAAAAGTTTGAAAGTGTCTAATATGCATAATTTGGCTCCATATTGACTCACAATGGGCATACCATTCACTTAAAAAAAATAAAAACAATTCCAAATGTTGTAGCAATGTAGTGAATTAGGTTATTAAATCAAAGCATTAAGGAATGGGGTATACAATAAAGGAAGTGCTTGTTAATCAACAAATGTGAATAGACATGTACAACAAGTCAAACAGTTTTGACAGCTTTTCATAAGCATCCTCATGATTAAGTAACAATCTGAAAATTAAGCTTACATGCAAAATAGCAGATTGGCCCAACTTCTAATGCAGTGCAAATGGCAGGGGCGGCAAAGGGCGGGGAAAGGCATATAGAACTGTATTTTTAGTAACTGTATTTTAGCATCTCATTTTGGAAAAGACTGTCATTCCAGACCCAAAGTAATTTTACCTTTTGAACACTTAAACTAAAAACTGCAATGGCAGAGTGGCAATACATGGGAAATACTTTCTAATGCTGTATTTATTTATTTAGAAGAGTAATAAAAAGTATCTTAAATATATATATATTTTTAAAAGAATGAGGTCAAATAGGAAGCTGTCAATTTGACAGTTTGATGTAGAATAGCACAGAAAGGAAATCAAATACAATATGAATGAATAAGCAAAGACATTATAAGTGGTAAACTGTCAAGTTTAAAAGCGTTTTTGCTAATTTATCTTGATGGAAATTGAAAATAAAGTGTAACTCACTTCAGATGCTTTTAAAATCATCAGACTTCTCATGCCTTCAAATGGGGGGTTCATTCCCTGAGTCTCTGGTGGTGGTGGTATTTGTTTATGTTATTGTAGTGCCAACAGGCTCCTGTCAGGATCTGGGCCTCATGGCAGTAGGCATTATATGAACACAGAATAAGAGATGGCTCATGTTCGGAAGGGCTTTCAATCTAAAAAAGGCAGGGGAGCCAAAAGAAAATAGACAATCAACAAATGAGTAATGTGCCCAAACTACAGAAGTTCCTAGGTACACTTTCTCCAACTTTTGTTTGCTTTGCTTTACTAGTGTTTTTATTTATTTATTTATTTGATTTGATTTGATCTCAAATAAGAGCAAAATGATCTTATCTTCTGAAAGACCAACCAGAGTATTGACGATACTATAACAGAGACAAATATTTCTAAAAACAACTTTGGAAATTTTAATAAAGCATATTCTGATGTAGTAAACTGTGAACAATTTAAGATACTCTGTAGTGTTAATCACCTAAATAATGAGTAGAAAAAAATGATGTGGGCATCTTATGTAGACATTTCTTTTTGTGGAAAATTTTGACTTTTTGTTCAAAAAAGCCCCCAAACAAACCTGGAAACATTTAGGTTCTGGCCAAAAATATAATGTGTTTTGGTTTTCTGATTAAAAAGTCAAAATTTTCTGTGGGGAAAAAGAACCCTTTCTGAAAAGCTGCAGTGGAAGTCTGTTGGGCCTTACAACCCCTTTCCCTCTGCCTGTGCTCCTTGCAGGGGCTGCTTGAGCTCAGGTGGCTTCTGGCCAACAGCTTGTTCCTGCAATAAAACGTGGACTTCTCAGTGACCCTCCTTCTCAGTGACCCTACCCTTTTAAAAGCCTAGATAACTGCCTGTCTACCCTATGCCCAAAGCTGCTGGTTCAGTGGGGCTGGATTTCAGCTACATTTCCCCACCCATCAGAAAGTCTACATTTGGCCCAGTTTCCTAATATGATTGAGTCAATAGGTTTGTCCTGTTTCAGTGGGTTTCCACTCAAGGTGGGCTCAAATTACAAAATGGGGGTCCTTTTCTTGATTTCAAACTCTCCCTCCCACCCCCTAAAAAAATCAGGGGTGGTGAATCGGGTTCTGGAGTGAGCCCCTATCTCATTTACATGTGGTGTTGGTAGTAGTAGTTTTTGCTTCAAACTCTGGAGGGAAATCTTTGAAGAAAAGTTTTAAATCTGTCAGTCTTTCATTCTGGAGGAACCACTGTGGTCTATAAATATTTGAAGGAAGAGAACATGACAAAGAAGTTATTGTCCGCAGTAATACAGTACTGTATGAGCTGCAAGAATGATTTTTCAGTAGAAAGTAATTTTGGAACTAATCTATTTGGAACCATGAAAGTTAATTTTGATTGTGCTAAACATGTATCATTACCTCATTTGTGTGAGTTTCAAAACATGCATCAATCAAAGCAACCAGAATTTTGTATGCATCATTGCAAGTTTTACGTTTTTGTTTTTTTTGTTAGAACCAAGGTACTAATTGTTGTTATAACAATACATTTTTGTTTATATAGTACTTCTTCAAAGAACTGTGCTATAAATCTGGTAATAATTAAAAAAAGATATTACTGGAATTTTCTTATGAAAATTAAAATCTTTAAAAAATTCTCTTCTGTATTGATTTTAAAGCATCTATACTAAACTATACCTAACAAAATATGGACAAACAACAAACAAAAATCAAATAGTTTAAATAAACAGGCTTATATTGCCATGCAGCTTCAACTCCAGAATACCTCTTCAAGGATCTCACGTAAGTCTGACTCACACATCTGTTTTTCTTTATATAGGAAAGAAATTGCTTGATTAGTACATGAAATTCATACATTTTGACATTAATCTTATAAATGAGATCAGATCCTCAATTGGTATAAATTGACATAGTTTCCTTTAAATCATTATAAGTAGCTTGATTTATAGCATCTAAGGATTTGTCCCAATATGTTCATGTAAAGCAACGTCTGCCATGTCAGCGCGCCCATCTTCTAAAAATGGGATATAAGAGTTTTCCATCTTTTTGAACAACTAAAGTCAGCTTAAATTAATTTTTTTAAAGATTTTGTAGTTCTATGAATTGAAGAAAACCATGGAGCAAATATAGTTCGGTCTCACCTGATAATTTATGATGTCATATTACTGCAATAACATTGAACCACAAATTTATAATATTAGAATGTTGCCAATTAATATGTGTCTAGCACTTATTCTTGAACCAAGTGTGCATGAGCCCGACAGAATCTTTATTTTTCTCTTAAATTAAAAAAGTCACAGATAACGCTGACCTCCCTGAGTAACTTCGAAAAGTTTGTGCTAGCGGGCATCTTGTTCGTGGACCTAAATACTGCCATTATGTATTTACACTCAGTTTGCAGAATTCTTGCAGTTTTAGCTCTCAGTTTTTCTGTTTTTCAGGCAATTGTGTGACTAAAAGTAGTACGGTGTGGGTGGGTGTAAAGGGTGTGGTACATACTGGCTTTGGAAAAATGTTTCATTTTTAAAATCTTACTATACAAAAATGAGATGATATTTATGTGACATATTATGGAATCATCCTGTGATAGATTATTAATCATGCATCTTTGACTATCCTGCTCTCCTCCAACCAATCCGTGTCAACCATGACTTTTTCTAGCTCTCCAAACCTCTGAGCATCTTCAAACAGCTGCCATTTTCTAACAGACCATCAACAAAGAAACTTTTTTTCTCCCCCAAATGTGGAATTGCTCTCGTTGATCCCACTATTATCACCATCTTTCAAAAAATTTAAAGGTCCTAAAGGCCAGGACTGAAAAGACACTTTCTTGGGAAAGTAACAGTTTTTCTGTACATAAAAATGTCACAAATTCAAAGGTCAATAGCAAAAAATGGAGAAGGGATATAAAGCCATGTTTCATTGTTTAAATCAGTCTCTAACTATTAGAAATTAGGATGAGACTTTCTTGGGAAGCAGATTACCCCTCATATACCTTGCCTTCCTCTGCAAGGTGACCATCTGGTGGTGGACACTGTCAGAGACAGGATGCTGGACTAGATGGACCCTGGTTCTGATCCAGTTTGACAATTCTTAGGTTTTTATGTTCATGTAGCCTTTCAGGACTAGACATGAAAGCTTTCTATCAATGGAAAGCGTTGACTCAGTTTTCCAGTGGGTCCAATCGCACACTCCTAGATCTGGAAGGGCCTGAAAAAAAAATTTTAAATAAGAAATATTTTAGATAAGGTAACCTCTTTTAGGTTTTTATTATGTTTTTATGGCTCATTTATGACTTTGATACAGTTGCACATATGGTAATTGAGATTCCTATTTTTACTAACAGAAGAATTAAAAAAACCTAATTGTTTTAAAAGACTGTTAAGCCAATAGTTATAGATCCTCCACCCCACCCCCTCGTGACATATATAGAACATGCAGAATACCTGGTGGTGCAGCATGGTGTAAAAGTTTTATAATTTGAGATAAACTGCATAACTCGCTCCTAGCTTCACCACCTATGAGAATGAGACCATCTCTAGCGAGTGCTGATAAAACCTTCAACCACAACACTGTATATTCCTTCTCCATTATAGGAAGTGGTGTAGAGACTTACATAGTTAAAGTTGCCTGACACTTTCCATTGTAAGATCCTCTTTTCAGTTGCTTATAACTTTGCCAAACTTTAACCATTGAGGCTGAAATTTTCCTTCTTGTGTGTCTGCCTCACGTTGATTTTTTTTTTTCCTGGAAAGTTTTAGCTAAA